TCATTTACAGAAGAGAAACAGACTCACAGACATAGAAAGCAAACTGATGGTTACCAAAGGGGAAAGGCTTGGGGGAGGGGTAAATTAGGAGCTGGGATTGCAAACTACTGTATGTAAAAGGGGTACACTGCAGGGTCCTGCTGTATGGTGCAGGGAACTATATTCAATACTGTATAATAAACCATAATGGAAAAGAATATGATAAAAGAACACACACACACACATATATGTAGCCACAGGGAAGATCCCCTGGAGAAGGAAATGGCAACCCACTCCAGTGTTCTTGCCTGGAAAACTCCATGGACAGGGGGGCCTGGTGGGCTACAGTCCATGGGGTCGCAAGGAGTCGGACATGACTGAATGACTAACACTACCGAGAAACCCATATATATGTATATGGACCTCCCTGTGGCTCAGTGGTAAGGAATCCGCCTGGCAATGCAGGAGACACGGGTTTGATCCCTGAGCTGAGAAGATCCCCTGGAGAAGGAAATGGCAACCCACTCTAGTATCCTTGACTGAGAAATTCCAGGGACAGAGGAGCCTGGTGGGCTACAGTCCACGGGGCCACAGAAGAACTGGACACGATTTAGTGACGAAACAAAAATATACACATACACACACACACACACAACGTATAACTGAATCACTTTGCTATACTCCTGAAACTTACGCTATTGTAAATCAACTGTACTTCAATTACAAAATAAAATAAAAAAGCAAAGTTTGGGTGTGGTTAAAAGTGTTGAGGAGGGCCAAAATTGAAATTGAAGAGGACAAGGGGGACCCTTGATGGCACGCGAGCTCTGAGGAGACGGGGCAGTGGTTTCTAAAGGCTTCTGTGCAGCTTAACTTAGAGAAGAAGCTTTACTTGTGCAAATTAACTGATTGATTAGTTCTTCTATCCTTTTGTAAAATAAACATTTATTGAGAACCCACTTTGTGTCTGTCCCTATACTAGGAGCTAAGAATACATCGGCAAGTGAAGGAAACATAGTTTTATTCCCAGAGGGCTTAGAGTCTAGGGGAGAAGCAGGTGTCGGTTGGGGATTCACAGAAGTCGATGTGTGCTTACAAAGCAAGCCGAGTGTTCTGAAGGAAACTCCTGCAAGAGCTTGCAGATCAGAAACCGAGTTTTCAGAGCCTTGTCTGGAGCGACACACAAGCAGGTCATGTGAACAGGATTCCAGAGGAGAGGACCAGGGGAAGACCATGCTTTGCAGATGGAAGGGCAGGGGCGAAGGACCCGTGGCGCAGCAGAGGATTTGATTCAGGGGAAGGAGGGAAGCTCACACGGCTCGCCGGGCCAGAAGAGAGGTGTTCAGTGATGCAGAGACCAACGGGGGTGGACCGCAGAGGGTTCTTCTGATGCTCTGTCCTAAGGGCACTGGAAAGTGCTGCCTTCTGTATGAAGGGATTTCAGAGAGCAAGCCTTGGAAAGTGTAGCCAAAGCCGCGTGTGTCCAGGACATTGCTGGTGGACTGAGACCTGGGATCCGATGATGACTGAGGTTCCTGAGTCACCCTGCTATTGGGAAGTTTGGGGTCTGCAATGCCCGAGTCTGCGCAAGGAAGTTCCAGACTCCGGAGGAGCCAGGCATTTACAGAGGGCTGTGTGGCTGAGCCAGCTTGTTGTCTCCTGCCAGCCACTTAGACCTGGGAGAGAGAGAAGTTATGCTGGGTCGGAACCAGCACACTTCAGTTGTAACTCCACAGGCTGTGGGGCTGGGCTCTCGATCAGGGTCACGTGGTACGCAGGGGGCTTGCTGGGCAGACCTGATTCTGAGTCAGGTCTCAAGGTAGCAAGACTTACAAGATTTGATGGAGTTACTTTCAAAAATACACAGAAAACTCTTAAGAGAACCATATGAGACAATGATGCTGGAGAGAGGAAGCTTAAAGTCTCTGCAGGACCAGAGTTGCTCTGCACCCCTCCCCCTTCCAGTCCACGGATTGGTGTGTTTGAAGCAGCGGAGAGGGAGCTCAATTCTTCTGCTTGGGCTTTAAATGACTTTCCATCTTTGTGTCTACTGTGCTGCACTTTTATTTCCTTTCTAAAATGTTTTCTTCTGTGTTTCATATGACATGTCTGTGCGAAGTCTGAGAAAAGGACGTATGCAAATGTGATGGTTATATAAGCACAGCCAAATACAGTCAAATAGCCAAATAATAATACTCTGCAATAATCACAATAACAGTATTTCTTTTTGCTTTAAAAATTAAAATTTTTTTTATTTTGAAAATTTTTTTATTGAAATACAGTTGATTTGCAGTATTGTGCTGGCTTCAGGTGTGCCAGTGATTCAATTCTGTGTGTGTGGATATCCATACTTTTTAGATTCTCTTCCATTACAGGTTATTACAAGGTACTGAGCAGCGCTCCCTGAGCTATACAGTAGATCCTTATCAGTTATCTATTTTATATACAATAGTGTATCTATTAATCCCAAATCCTAATTTATTCCTCCCCACTTCCCCTTTGGTAACCATAGTTTGTTTTCTATGTCTGTGAGTCTATTTCTGTTTTATAAAGAAGTTCATTTGTATAGTCCTTTTCAGATTTTATGTATAAGCAATATTGTACTGTATTTCTCTGTCTGACTTAACTTCATTCAGTGTGATCATCTCTAGGCCCATCCATGTTGCTGCAGAATGGTGTTACTTCTTTCTTTTTTATGGCTAATGTATTCCGTTAAAAAGAAAGAAACCACATCTTCTTTATCCATTCGTCTGTCAATGGGCGCTTAGATTGCTTTCCTGTCTTGGCTGTTGTGAACAGTGTTGCTCTGAACATTGGGGTGCGTCTGTCTTTTCGAATTATAACACTAGCAGTATTTGGAACACGCTGGCTGAAATTTCTAAATGCTTTGGGTCTAACGAGCCTGGTCTGAATCCTGGCTGTGTCGCCAGGTACCCGGTGGGGGACCTTAGCTATGGCTTTCTCAGCTGCCATAGCAGGGCTGAGAGCAACATATCTTTCTAACAGTTGTAATAATTCAATGAGATGTTGTGTGGAAAACACCGACCACAGCACCAGCCCATGTGAAACCTCAATAACCATCAGCAGTTCTTCTTATGCTTATTGCAATTAATAATCAGATTGACAATAGTCAGTGGCCGAGTTAGGCTCAAGGAGGGGTCTGGATAGCATCACAAAATGCTGTGTAACTACTCAATCCTCCCTATCTCGGCCCAGCCGCAGTCCGGGTCCTGCCCTAATCTTTCTCTTTTGCTGTGAAGTCTCAGAGGCCGGGCTCCTGCTTGGACCAAAAGAATCATTTGCCTGCAGCTTCTTGTCTGCAGTCTTCAAAGTGATGGCCCAGATGCTGGGCATGTGAAGGGGCCAAAAAAGGGACGTGAACACATGGAGGAGCTTAACCCCGCCCTGGGACTAAGCAGCTAGCTGGGTTCAGAATGAGAGGCTGGCTCCACCCTCTTAGGCTCAGGATAAGATCACACTCAGGAGGTGGTTTGAAGAGTTATTCTTCAGTTTTGGGGAAAGGTCAATAGATATTCAGAGGGATGCTGAGCACGAGGGGAGGTCCCATGAGGAGCAGGTACTCTGGAGTCTGATTAGAGGTTTATAAACTAGAACTGAAAGACTCACAGCCAGGTGCTTTCAGAATAAACTTAAACACCTTTGTCTTTTGGCAGAGAAGGCAGCATCATGATCAAGCTTGCAGGCGGCAGACCGCTTTTGTATACATTAATCGTATTTTCATCGGGCCTTGAAGGCTAATTCCTGAAATTTGATGGCTCGTGATTAATCAATTTATCAATATTTATTGAATGTCCTATTTTAGCTCAACACCCGTTCAGCACTATGCTGGGAGAGAAAAGAAATATGAGATGTGGTTGTTTGATCTACTAGCAATATCCATGTTTGCTGATTAGTTTTTCTCCCTCCCTGCCTCCTCCCTGTGCATTTTGCAATCATCAGAAACCCACCCTTTACTTACTCATAAAAATTAACTTATTTCTAAAGCAGAAAGAGACTCAAAGACATAGAAAATCCACTTATGGTCACCCAAAAGGAAAGCAGGGAGGAATAATCTAAGAGTTTGAGATGAACATATATACATTGTTACATATAGAACAGATAATCAGTCAGGACCTACTGTATAACACAGGAAACTATACTCATTATTTTGTTATAACCTGTAAGGGAAAATAATCTGAAAAAGATATGCATGTTTATGTATACATATAACACATATATAAAAAAAGATATGTGTGTATATATAGATGTGTGTGTGTATATATATATATATAAATTCAGTTCAGTTGCTCAGTCATGTCCTACTCTTTGTGACCACATGGACTGCAGCACCCCAGGCCTCCCTGCCCATCACCAACTGCCAGAGCTTGCTCAAACTCATGCCCATCAAGTCGGTGATGCTATCCAACCATCTCATCCTCTGTCGGCCCCCTCTCCTCCTGCCCTCAATCTTTCCCGGCATCAGGGTCTTTTCCAGTGAGTCAGTTCACGTCCACATAGATATGCATGTGAATATATGCCCTGCGCTTAGTCCCTCAGTCATATCCGATTCTTTGCAACCCCGTGGACTTCAGCCCGCCAGGCTCCTCTGTGCATGGGGATTCTCCAGGCAAGAACACTGGTGTGGGTTGCCATGCCCCCCTCATGTGAATATATATGTATGTATGTATGTGTAATTGGATCACTGTGCTATACACCTGAAACTAACACAATATTGAAGTCAACTGTGACTTAAATAAAAATAAAAATGCTTTTCTTCTATACTCAGAAGAACCACAAGCAGGGAAAAAAAGAAAAGAAAAACATCTTTTATTCACTGGCAGAATTAACACAGAAGAAAATGGAAATAAGTATGTTCATTACAATCAGTAGTTCTTTCTTAGGAGAAAGGAGAGATTCTAGGGACATTTCTTGATTAAAAAAAATAGTAATATACATTATTGAAGATTATATATCTGGCAAATAAGAATATAAAATTGGAAAGGTTTCTGTTTGTCTTCCAGATCCACAGTCGGCTCTTCTCGTCCCCGAGAGATCACTCTGCCTGGGAAAGAAAGGAGAGTCTTTCAAAGGCAGGTAAAGAGCTCGCCTCTGACCGGGTGGCACTCCCTCCAAGCCACTATTTGTGTTCTCTTGCCTTTATTTTTATTAATAATGAAATGTGCTTTAGAGCCCAGTCTCCCTGAAAACATAAAATGAGAGCTCAGCGACTCCGACAAGATTTGAAGCTGATTTGAATTTCCAAACACACAGGCTTTTAGGCTGGCAGTCTCTGAAAAAAAAACAAACAATGCAGAAGAAATATCGGTTGCCTTAGGTAGTGCCTTCAGAAGCTGAGATTACCCCAGATCACTGAGCGTGTGAGGGGTTAGGCCAGCGTGGAGCACGATTCCGCCAAGAATGAATAATGGGACAAATATGGAATCTCTTCAGAACTGGAGAGGGTGCAATTTAAATATAGGCACAGTATCTGTGCGCTCATAAATCATTTTTTTATGAAGCGTCAATTCATAGGCACTCAACTGTGGAAACACTAGGTGGGATGATTCCAGTCCCTAAGTTTGTTAAGTTTGTTAATGTAAATGGCACGCAAATAAGATTTCTTACTCCCTTTCACTAGAGAAGTCACGTGGGTATAAGTCAAATTTCTGATGGTCTTGTAATAAGACTGTTGGGTTAATAGGATATTTCAATTCAGAGACTCTAGCAAGAATAAATTCTGAGAGAATTGTTTTTCATGTAGCAAATTTAATTTTTAATCTCCACTTGAATTTTAGTTGGTAAATGTGGCCGATGAGTTGGTATAAATATGTCTGTGTATGTGATCACACACATTTGTAGATTCTCTTTTTATTACCTCTCACCGCCTGCCTGTATCAAAGGTATCAGGATCTGAAATCCTTTCCTTAACTGACACAGTCAACCTAAGACAAAAATATTATTTGAAAGGAGCTTTCCTAGCTAATCCTCCTGGAGCCCCCAAAGCATGGCTTATAAGCTTATTCTTTAGTAGTGGCAGCTATTTAGTTCGGATCCTTCAAAAACCTAGCCCAGAAATTGCCGTAGTAAGAATATGAATCCGCGGATAGAAGCTTCTGGTGAGGTGGGTGGCAGGCTTCTAGCACTGGCTTCCAGCACGCCATAGGGAGTTTGGTGTGAGTTTGGAGTGACCACGTTTCCTTGGGCACTCAGAGGTGCCTGGGAGAACAGTCAGACCCAGGTGGCCTCTCACAGGTGTGTCCGTCTGCTTTTCCTGAGGACTGGGTCACCTAAAGGGGGCTTCCCAGGTGGCGCTAGTGGTAAAGAGCCTGTCTGCCAATGCAGGAGACATAAGAGACTGGAGTTCGATCCCTGGGTCAGGAAGATCCCCTACAGGAGGGCATGGCAACCCACTCCAGTATTCTCACCTGGAGGATCCCATGGACAGAGGAGCTACAGTCCATACAGTTGCAGAGTCAGATGTGACTGAAGCAGCTGAGCACGGCATGGCAGGTCACCTAAACGTGTGCTCTTGCTCTGCTGACAAGCATAGCCTGCTCATGAGGTGATTAGCAGTTTAATGGCTTTGAAGCAAGTACCAGTTGGCCCTGAGGCCAGAGGTGAATAGTCCAGGCTGTGGAGAATGTACCCAAACAAGCCTGGGTGAGGAGAGAGGCATGTCTCCTGGAATTCTTTCTTTCCTCATAGATCTATCTATATGTTCAAAGTTCTCATTCTGGAAGAATACATTAGAGGCAGTCTTAAAACTTGGGTGTTCAGGCAGAAGGCGAGGAGTTGCTGAAGAAAGAATCACTCATGACACCTGTTGACGAGGGTAAGACAGGTTTTGTTCAGAAGCACCGGGACAGTGGGGTCTTAGAGGAGGGGAGAGAGATTGGACTCAACTCCAAGTACAAGGACAAGTGGGAATTTACAGCCAAGGAGAAGGGAGGGGGTCAGTGGATGGAAGATCTCTTAGGAGCAAATGTTAGGAGTAGGGAGGATTTTGGCTAAAGTGACTTGACAAGTGGGGGATGAGAAATTTGATTGGATATCAAGGGCAGGGGATGTCCTCCAAATTCACCCAGCTGGATTCTTGCTAAAATTGCACTAAGTGGGCCAAGGACAGAACTCAGGAGCATGGCCTAGTCAGGAGTTCTTAGAGTGTAGGTAGTTAACAGTAGACAATTATCAATAGGCCTGTGGTCATACCCCAATAAGCATAATAGAATTTATGATTCTATTCGGTTACACAGATAATTAGGGTATTCTTTTAAGGACGTAGAGTCTAGGAACGAGCCCTGGGGCTCTTCCCTCCAGGGGGCCTGGTTTTCCAGTTGGTGTGTCGTTTACATAGATACTGAACATACAGCTCAAAGTCCACAGTCCAGCCCAAGATGGCGTCCTGCTTTCAAGACGGAGCCTGTTCTGTCTGTTTCCTCCTTCATTCCCCGCTCTTGATGCTCTTAGCTCACAGTATGAGCATCATTCATAGGGATATATTGCACCCTGACTCTCTGGCTTCCAATCTGGGAGAACGACATCAACCTTTGGGTTACAAAGTTCATAATACCTTGTAAAGTAAAGGGTCCACAAAGCAGAACGATCAAGGCAACTATAACAATGGTAAATATAGTTTTCCACCAATCACCCTTCACCCAAGATAGGACTGAAGTCCAAAAAGGAAGATTATCATCAGACATAACTTTTACCTGACCTTTCATGTCATCTAGGGTGGCTGATATACAGCCAGATAAATCAGGAGTATATCTGCAACATTCAACTTTAATTATAGCACAGGTCCCTCTTTGTACTGAAACTAGGGCTGGTCTCAAGATGATACCAGCAAGTCCTTGTAGCAGCAGTGGATTGTAGAGCTTCATCTCTTTTTCTTCTTTAAGATGATCTTGGTTTCCCGGGGATCAGTGGGGTCCTTTGTGTAGTCCCCTCGGCGTCCTCCATGTCTACGTGGTATGCGCTCTCCACCCTCATGAGGTGGATCCAGGGTGTGACACCTGCAACTTTAACTGCAGTAGGGCTGGTTAGAACAACAGTATATGGACCCTTCCACTGTGGGGCCCTGGAGTCGTGTTTCCAGTCCTTGACCACACCTGACCCCCGGGCACAAATTCGTGAAGCTGTTCCCCAAGGGGGAACGGCACCCTTTCTTGTGCAAACTTAGTTACCTGATTTATTACCTTACCCAGTGGTTCCATCTGCTGAGGAATCTCATCTCCCCTTACCTGAGGCAAATTTGTTGACACCTGTTTTATTATGGGAGGGGCCCTCCCATACACTATTTTTATGGAGAAGAGCCATGGGATCGTGGGGTCATCCTGGGTCTGAGCAGAGCCGTCGGAAGCAAGTCCACCCAGAAACAGTCGTCTGTAAGATCCTCTTGGAGAGTCTCTTTAAGTGTCCAGTTGGTTCCTTCCACCATCCCAGAACTCTGGGGCCTATATGCTGTACGTAATTTCCACTTGATGTTTAAAGTTTTGCTTACTTGTTATACTAAATCAGCTACAAAAGCTGGGCCATTGTCCGATCCAATGCTGGTAGGAAATCCAAATCTGGGGACTATCTCCCTAAGCGGGCACCAGGCTACTTTTGATGCTCTTTCAGTCCGGGTAGGAAAAGCTTCTACCCATCCCGAGAGTGTACATACTATGACCAGCAGGTAATATAGTGTCGGTGAGGTTTCATTTCAGTGAAGTCCACTTCCAGGAGTTCAAAGGGCAGCGTGCCTTTCAGCTGAATCCCTGGAGGTTTCTGTCTGTGCCTAGAGGCAGCATTGACCTGTGAGCAGGCAGTGCAGTTCTGAGATTTTGTCCTGCATAGGGAAGAGAGGCGGGGAACCAAGAAATATTTTCGAATTAGCTCTTCCAGTTTATCATGGCCTAGATGAGTTGCTTGGTGTGTTTGGCTTACCAGAGTGGGTGCCAGCTCCTCCGGTACCAATAATTTGCCACTTGGCAATTCCCATCATCCCTTTTCAGTCTTGATGGCCCCTTCTGCTTCGGCTAGTTGGTTTTGGGCTTCAGTGTATTTTGGAGAGCCTAGCGTTAGCTCAGGTAGCTCCACCAATATGAGAGCTTTAATAGGGGCTTCTCTTGTCACCCCCAAGCCCTCGGCTGCTTGTTTAGCAGTCTCATCCGCCAGTCTGTTCCCTGAGCCTGGGGGGTATCCTCTTTTTGAGGTCCTCAGCAGTGTATGACTGCAACCCTTTCTGGTTCCCAGGCAGCATCTAATAGGGTCTTAAGTTCTCCCTTATTTTTAATATCTTTTTCAGTGGCTGCCAAAGGCCTCTCTCCTTATACAGAGCCCTGTAGTGTGGCCAAAGCATACCTGTGGTCTGTGTAAGTGTTTGTCTTCTCACTTCTGACAGCTGGAGGGCCTGGATTAGGGCGCATAGTTCGGCCCGTTGAGGGGACCAGTGTGATGGCAGAGAGCTAGCCCCAGCGATGGTTTCTTCCATGACTCTGCGTATCCCGACAGTCGTTGTCCTTCTTTGACCAGGCTGGTGCCATTGGGGTACAGGACCAAATCTGGGTCCAGGACTGGCTGGTCTCTCAAGTCAGGTCTGCTGGCATATTTCCTTGCAATCATGTGAGGGCCCACCTTCTCCCACAAGAAAGAGAGTGGCCAGATTCAGGGCCTGGCAAGGCTCAGTAGTAGCATGGGGTTCTCATATAACAGTCCCTTCCGGAAGACTGTGCAACCTCCATTCATCTTGAGGGATTACCGAGAGGAAGAGTAAATAGGTGGTTGAGCCCACTTGAACAGTGGGTCTTTTGTGGGGGGAAGGGTCACTTGTGCCTCCAGTTTAGACAGCAAGTCTCTTCCTAACAAAGGTACTGGGTATTCAGGGATGTATAAAAATTCATGAGTCACTTGGTGTCCCCCCATCTGACATTTTCAGGGTAGGCTAGAGACACAAAGGCCACATTTATCACCATCTGAGACCCAGCAGCCTCTGGTTGGGTCTATTGGCGTATAAAGTCTATAGGCCTTGCACAGTCTTTTGCAGAACTCAGAGGGTGATTCACTTTCCCTTTGAGTCACTTCGGAGGGCTTTGTGATACTCATAGCTTTTCGGG